GTAGCAACAGAAGAAAGACTAAAAACCTGCTCCAAACAGTGTGTGTGCAGAGAGAGAGAGAGCTAAATCAGAAACTCTCCTACTTACTGCCATATCGTTGCAGTACAATGTATTTCATCAACCATTGTTGTTTGTATAAAGTAACTTCATTATCACGTTATTAATTAATTATATATTAATTGGCAACATTGCAACCTAAATAACCTAAAAATTCACCACGAAGCTAGGCTAATCCTCATCCCAACCGCTTCGCACTCAGCTGCGAACCGATCCAGTGAGAGCTGAAGGTCACGGACCGATGATGCCATCAGGACCACATCATCCGCAAAAAGCAGTGACGAGATCCCAAGCCCACCGAACCGCAGCCCCTTCTCACCACGACTACGCCTTGATATCCTGTCCATGAATATCACAAACAGGATAGGTGACAAAGCGCAGCCCTGGCGCAGGCCAACCCTCACCTGGAAAGAGTCCGACTTACTGCCGAGTACTCGGACACAGCTCTCGCTTTGGATGTACAGGGATTGGATAGCCCTGAGAAGAGCCCCCCTCACCCCATACTCCCGCAGCACCTCCCACAGTATCTCCCGGGGGAACCAGTCATACGCCTTCTCCAGATCTACAAAGCACATGTAGACTGGATGGGCATACGCCCAAGCCCACTCCAGTATCCTTGTGAGAGTAAAGAGCTGGTCAGTTGTTCCATGACCGGAATGAAAACCGCATTGTTCCTCTTCGATCTGAGGTTCGACAATCGGCCGAACCCTCTGTTCAAGCACCTTGGAGTAGACTTTACCGGGGAGGCTGAGAAGTGTGATACCCCTGTAATTGGCACACACTCTCTGGTCACCCTTTTTGAACAGGGGAACCACCACCCCAGTCTGCCACTCCTTGGGCACTGTACCCGACTTCCACGCAATGTTAAAGAGACGTGTCATTCAAGACAGCCCCTCCACATCCAAAGCTTTTAGCATTTCTTGGCGGATCTCAGCAATCCCTGGGGCTTTGCCGCTGTGGAGTTGTTTGACTACCTCAGTGACTTCCACCAGGGAAATTGACGAGAATCACCCATCAGCCTCGAGCTCTGCCTCTACTAAAGAGTCGGATTTAGGAGTTCCTCAAAGTGTTCCTTCCACCGCCCAATTACCTCCCCAGTTGAGGTCAACAGGGTCCCATCCTTACTGTACACAGCTTGGACGGTTCCCCGCTTCCCCCTCCTGAGATGGCGGACAGTTCTCCAGAAACACTTTGGTGCCGACCAAAAGTCCTTCTCCATGTCTTCTCCGAACTTCTCCCACACCTGCTGCTTTCCATCTGCCACAGCAGCTGCTGCCGTCCTTCGGGCCCGTCGGTACTCCGGAGTCGTCCGAGACAACAGATCCCGGAAGGCCTCCTTCTTCAGTCGGACGGCTTCCCTGACCACCGGTGTCCACCACGGTGTTTGAGGGTTACCGCCCCTTGAGGCACCTAAGACCTTGAGACCACAGCTTTCCGCTGCAGCTTCAGCAATAGAGGTTTTGAACATTGCCCACTCATGTTCAATGTCCCCAACCTCCACAGGGATGCCAGAAAAGCTCCGCCGGAGGTTTGAGTTGAAGATCTCACGGATAGGGGCCTCCTCCAGACGTTCCCAATTCACCCGCACTACCCGTTTGGGCTTACCAGGTCTGTCCAGAGTCTTCCCCCACCCCCTGACCCAACTCACCACCAGATGGTGATCAGTTGACAGCTCCGCCCCTCCCTTCACCTGAGTGTCCTAAACATGCGGTCTCAAATCAGATGAAACTATTACAAAATCGATCATTTATCTTCGGCCTAGGGTGCTCTGGTACGGCGTACACTTATGAGCATCCTTATGCTTGAACATGGTGTTCGTTATAGACAATCCATGACTAGCACAGAAGTCTAACAACAAACACCTACTCGGGTTCAGATCAGGGGGGGCGTTCCTCCCAATCACGCCTTTCCAGGTATCTCCATTGCCCACAACTATGGAGTCCCCTACTGGAGCCCCATACAGAACTCCATTCAGGGTCTCCAAGAAGGCTGAATACTCTAAACTGCTATTTGGTGCATATGCACAAACAACGGTCAGAGTTTTCCCCCCCAGTACCCGAAGGCGTAGGGAGGCGACCCTCTCGTTCACCGGAGTAAACTCCAACGTAGCGGTGCTTAGCCGGGGACTTGTGAGTATCCCCACACCCGCCTTGCGCCTCACACCTTGAGCAACTCCAGAGAAGAATAGTGTCCATCCCCTATCAAGGAGTACGGTTCCAGAACCGAGACCAGATCTAATTGGTAGTGCTCCATCTCCCGCACAAGTTCCGGTTCCTTCCCCCACAGAGAGGTGACGTTCCACGTCCCCAGAGCCAGCCTCTGACGCCCGGGTCTGGTCCAGTGAAGCCACCCATGTGGCAGCGCGCCCGACCCCTGCGGATCTTCCGATGGATGGTGTGTCCAAAGGATGGAGAGGGGTTGCCACGTTCTTCGGGCTGGGCCACGGCCGGGCTCCGTGGCAAACCCTGCCACCAGGCGCTCGCCGACGAGCCCTCCCTCTGGGCCTGGCTCCAGACGGGAGCCCCGGCAGGGCAGGGTCTCTCCTCCTCTTCCACGATTTGTCATCAAGGGTCTTTGTGAACCATTCTTAGTCTGGCCCCTCACCTGGAACCACTTTGCCTTGGGAGACCCTACCAGGAGCACTAGGCTCCCGACAACACAGCCAGGTTCACCGGGGTACGCAAACCTCACCACTACGATAAGGTTATGGTTCCCGGGGAAAAAAATAAATAAAATAAAATAGTAAAAGACAACCAGCCGAACAGCAGCAATAAACAGATGATATAGGAAGAAAACTAAGAGAGAAATGAAAACAAGAAACAATCAAACACAAATAAGCAACACAGCCAATGCCCGGCAGCCCCCCGTGTATCACACATGCGAAAACGGGCAAACAATAGAGAGCGAGGGGCAGAACACGACGGCAAAAGCCAGTGGAGAAAAACACCAGCAGCAAGTCCCAGCCTGGCAGCAAACGCACCGTGCAGGCCACCGTGCACCCGCCAATAAAAGTCCGCCGTTCCCCTAACCGCCGGTTGGCCCCGAGAACTCCAGGCACAGGTCCAGAATGAACCGGATCACAGCCCCGCCCTGCACTGCATATCCCGAAAGCTAACTTTATACTTCAGTCTGCAGAGGGGTCCGACAACTGGCCGACAGAGATATGGGGAAGCATGGATCTGAGGCCGACGAAGAAAACCAGGTACGCAAACTGGTTCCTCCAAACCAACAAGGAAATGCCGCCACCGGACTCTATTGCACAAACTAAAGGCCCAGAAGCCATCCAGAGACCTTGCACAGGGAAGAAAAAAATAAAAATAAACAAGGCATCAAGATGCATCGACAATCGCCCTATAATCCCAACGCAGCCCTCCAAACCGCAACCGGATTGACCGCGCCCAGAGACCCCCACCTCCTCGTTCTGAATGGCAAAGCTATCCACCTGGCGCCACCACTCTTTGGGGGGGGAGAAGGGCGCAGAACGGTCAGTGCGAACCGAGAGCGAGTGCTCGGCCGGCGTACTCCGGTCCGAGGCACGCCTTGCAGCGGGGATGGAGATCACCCAGCACGATGTAGCCCGTGTGGCAGACGTCCCGTTCTGGCTGGCTTGCTGGAAGACATCGTTCTTCTTGTTTTCCAGCTGGAAAATCTTGCTCTTTAGACAGCTCAGTGCTGAAGAAAAATGGAAGCTGAAGGCTGGGTCTCACCGTTGTGTATATATACAAGGTGCGGATGTAGGAGAGGCCAACACTGTGGGTGGGCGTAGACTAAAATTCTCAGAGGCGCGTGGAAGGGGTAAATCCAACAGCGATAGCCTTAGAGGGCGAAGCCTATACGAAATAGAAGCAGCGGGAGCCCCTCTAGCACCCGCAGCACCCCACAGTCAGCGACAACCCCGCATAGCCCAAGGACGGGTCCAGGGGGGCCCAGCCCCCCCATCGCGCAGACCCGCCCCCGACCCAGAGGTACAAAGCACCGAGCCCCAGGCCCCCACACACCCCAGAGGCAGCTTAGCGCAGCCCCGACCCGAAGCCCCACCAATCCCCTGCCCCCGCCAGGCCCCTCCCGGCAGCCCCACTGCACCCCCCCCAAACCTCACTGCTCCCACACAATCAGGAGAGCGTCGAACACCATCAGGAGGAATAAATACATTTCTGTATTATAAATACAGTCACGGACACTATGTCCATTTTTATATACAGTCTATGGTATTCACACGTTTAAAAACCATACTACATCATTGTCTGAGACTGACGGAGGGGTACCCCTGATACAGGGATGCTAGGGATGAAGAGGTTTTAAAAAGGTAACTTGATAATTATTACTGTGTTCGCCTCCAACCGCAGAATAACAGACGGGAGCTTAAAGTTTGCTGTTCTCAGCCACCATTCTCTCTCCTCTCTGGCGCTTCTTTCAAAACTTCTGGGTAACAGCCATGTGACTTGCACTAAAAATCTTTTTCTTCTTCATAAATTTAACAAGGGCAACGCAATCACAGCTTTTAGTTACACTATTACTCAAAATTACAGTAGACAAGATGTATTATAATTGGATAACGAAAGAAATGAATGACTTCCGGTATTGTCATGGAAGCAGGTTTACACCGGTCTCGTCAGCCTACCAGCATCAGGCCAAAGCAGCTTTCTGTTAACAACAAGCGGTAATGACTCTGAATGTGTTGGAACAACCTGCAAAGAGACATTTTGACCGACAGTTTAGTCGACTATTATTTGAGCAGCCCTACTGTGCATTAATGCTGAGAAGAACATCTTTATTCTAATGCAAATATTTTTATGTCAGTCTTCCTCACTTTGGATGGGTTGACATGTTCAAATATAATCACATCTTAAACAATAAGTAACATTAATTTATTCACAATACAGCAGAGGAACCGCCCACATTGTACTGGAGAGTCACTGCATTCTCTGCTTTCTGTCTCTGAGACTGTTTCTGTGAAGTCATGTGAGCACAGGGGTCCTCCCTCTCTGCTGATATAAAACCGCTCTGCTGCCTCCTCAGCTTCAGAGATCTTTGTGAAGCCAGCAGGTGAACAACAGGTGAGAACACTTTGAAAAAGGAACAATGAAATACATTAGGAAGTCCAGATCAGGAGTCAGAACCACATATAAATGCAGGAAACATGTAGTTAATGTATACTGTACTTCTTTCTAGACAGACAAGTAATATATTCCTCAGTAAATGCAGATGTTGTGAACAAGTTTAACTCTGAAACATGTTGTTGAAGTTCTGTGAACTGTGAAGCTGTTTCTGTTTAAAATATCTAAACACTCACTTTATGTCATCAGTGAATGGGTAAACAAACATGCTTAAATGTAACAGTAATGACCATACTGAAGGTTTAATTAAACTATAAAGTATGTCTAAATAAAATTGATGTCACAATGTGAGAATGCTACTGCGCTAGCCTAGCACAGAAACACTAAGATCCAGTATCTACTGACAGCTGCTGATAACAGCAGCACAGCTGACAGGAGGTCACTGACTTGTTTTTCTTTCATGCAGGGAACTAATAAACTGCTGTCAAGCTGTTACCATGGCAACGTGAGTAATATTACGTTTCTATAACAACACAGAGTTTCAGAGTTTATTTTCTTGTTGAAATGCATCACGCTGCTGAATCCCATTTTACTACATGATGTGAACATTTACAACGAGAGCAGAGTTAAGAGTGAAAACTGCTTTGATTGTTGAACTTTGATTGATAAACTGACCTATGAGATGTAAAACAGCTGAATTAGTATAGTTTGTATATATTGATTTGTGTTTTGAGCACACACCAGGTAAAATATTTCTGGCCTGTGTATTCAATTAGCATAACTATTATTAAAAGGCAGCAGCAAGTAGAGATAATGATTTAATGCTATGTTCAGTTGTTTTTCAGATAATGCATTTACTTTTGTACAGGAATACCAACAAATCAACTAAATATGACAACATCAGCTGCAAAGTTTTGATCAATTCAGGATCTCCCACTCACTACCAGCTGACACCAAAGAAAGAGAACATTGGATCTCTAAGAAGAATGACTTTTGGTGAAAGAAATGTGAACAAGATAAACAAAACCATCTTGCTTGTGGGTGAAACAGGAACAGGAAAATCTACTCTGGTCAACGCTCTGGTCAACTACGCCATGGGAGTGAAGTGGGAGGACGATGTCTGGTTTCAGATCGTAGAGGACGTAGAGGACGAGAAGAGAAGTCAGTCAGAGAGTCAGACATTAGATGTGATGGTGTACCAGGTCTTTGGTTTTGAAGGTGAAACTCTGCCCTACTCTCTGACCATCATCGATACTCCTGGATACGGAGACACCAGAGGAACTGAACATGACGTCATCGTCAGTCAAAGACTATTAGACTGGTTCCGCTCAGAGGACGGAGTTCATGAGATGGATGCAGTGGGTCTGGTGCTGAAAGCAACTGAGAATCGACTGAGTGACCGACTGAGGTACATCTTTGATTCAGTGGTGTCTCTGTTTGGAAAAGACATGGAGAAGAACATTGTTGCTCTCATCACACACTCAGATGGAAGAAAACCTAAAAATGTTCTGAAAGCTCTCGGAGATGCAAAAATGAAATGTGCCAGAAATGAAAAGAATCAGCCTGTTTACTTCCTTTTTAATAACTGTCTGGATGAAGACAGGACAGAGGACACAGAAACCCTTAAGAATGCAGATGAAATAACAACAAGAGGAATGAGACAGTTCACAGAGTTTCTGAAAGAAACTGCACCTCAGAAGCTGGAAACAACCGTGCATGTTCTGAACGAGCGAATCAGACTGGCAGCCTGCATCCACAACCTGCAAGAGAGATTTAAGTTCACTGAACTAAAACAGAGAGAAATCCAACAGACTCAGGAAGCTCTGAAGAAACATGAAGAAGAGATGAAGAGAAATGAAGAGTTCAGTGTACAAGTTGATGAGATCTACAAAGACAAAGAAGAAATCGATGGTGGAGGGAGGTGGAGGTTGTTTTTTTATGAAGGAGCTGTCTGCTGTAAAGTCTGTGAGGAGAACTGTCACTATCCTGGATGCACACTGGCCTGGTATCCTAAACACTGTGAGGTCATGAAAGATGGCCGCTGCACTTCATGTACCAGGAAGTGTCCTGTATCAGATCATGTGAAAGAAAAGTGGATCTATGTGGACAAGACAAGGAAAGTTCAGAAGACCCTGCAAGATGTGAAAGAGAAGTATGAAAGAGGTAAAACTGGCTGTGAGGAGACAACAAGCCTTTTGGAAACTTTAGAAAAGCAAATGGAAAAACTTCAGAAAGATAAAGATCACTTGTTGGAAAAGTCCTTTGAACATGTTGTCAGACTGGAGCAGATCGCCCTGAATGTTATCTCACTGTCCACTCATGTCCACTTGGACTTCCTGATTGAGAAGATGAAGGAGAAAGGAGACGCAGAGAAGGTCCAGAAACTGGAAGAGATGAAAATTCAAGTGGATAAAGGAGTTGTAGCAGCGCTGCGGTACAGGTTTGGTCAGCTGATGGCAGCTGTAAAGCAGTGATGTAGCAGGTGAACACCATCAGTGTGAGCAGCAGCTGTGTAGAAAACAAGCTCTACACTGTTGATCCAGATGTTTAAACATCACAAAGCGAGGAGTGAGGACGCCCCCTGGTGTCTCATGCTGAGTACAACAGCTCCCTCCCTCACATCACTAAATTGGACTAAATCCATTTATGTTTTCTCTTCTAATCATGTTTTCTCCACTATGATTGTGTTTGTGCTTGTATGAATAGACGTGTCTTATATATCCACCATGATGTCACAATGTTGAAGCTGTTGGGAAACTAAAGTGAACTCATTATAAAGGAGTTTAGCCTGGAGGGGGGTTGAAACCTCTTCCTGTGTTCTGAGAGTGTAATAATATATCTTAATATCTTTCTCAATAATAAAGAAGATTACAGTTAATGTGTGTTGTATCAAAGTCCTATAAGAGCTGAGGACAGACTGCCTCTCCTCAGTCACACCTGTGTAATGCTGATGATGCTCTGACCTGCAAACAATAAAGATCTGCTGACATTATGAATATTGTGTCATCTGGGATTTGAGTTCCAGCTCTCATCTGCACTAGACAGCAGTTTAATAATGGCAATAAACAAAATCCAAAAGGCAGGAAATCCAAGACACAGGTAAACACAGAGAAAGGGCCGCTACGCTCGAGCAGAAGACAAAGACAAACTGGCTGAAGACAAAGGAAGCAGGCAGATTTTGAGTTCCTGTTTTATTGTGAAAGGGTTTGTCTTGTACGACTGAAAGGGCAGAAAGAGACAAAGATTCCTCTGAGCAACAGTTAAATAAGAATATAAGAAGTTTAAATATGAACAGCTTCCTGTTTCAGGGTCAAGTTCACAGTAACGTCTATAAGAAGCTGGAATTAACAGACGTCTCTTCTGTCAGGCAGCACTGTGGGGACATCAACTAAATGGACGTTTTAATCATTTAATTCTTCTTTTGGGGCCAAAACTATTTCAAAATAAGCATTTCCTGAAAACATCACTATAGCAGGTGATTCCAGCCTTGAACCGTAGCGAACATATAAAAGTGTTTTCTAAATCAGTGTGCACAGAGGACGTTCCAGAAGAGAAGTCAGACAGAAAGCTGCTGCTGTGTTTGTGAAGAGTCCTGAAAGCTGATGTCCTCTGATGGATTTCTACGCTGCTTTCTTCCTGTGTCTTCTTTCGTCTCTTTCTTCTGTTTCTCTTTGGGAGTTTGTGAGGAGCAGCAGGTCTGACAGAGATTGGTTCCAGCTGATGTTTCATCACGTGATCAGCTCTGTTGGTGATGCTTCCTGTAGTGACCACTAGAGGGAGCCAGCACTGCATTACTGAAGGCCTTCTGCTGAGTGGACTGAGCGCACTCTGCTGGACTAAAGCAGGAAACACAAACCTGCAGCCCTGCAGAGACCTGCAGGTCCACCTCATGTGGAGTTAACCAACTAATAAATTGCTGCTAAACTGATAATCAGCTATAATCTCTTTGATAAATGTGTTTTTATATAAAACATGCTCAACAAGAGAGAGCTCTTTCTGTTTCTGCATTATCTGTGATTGATGATTGGTTATGTTATTGATTTTAATTTTTATGAGGATGCCCCACAGATCAAAACAGGGCCTTAAAAGGGTTCAGGTCTGGAGACATGCTCGGCCAGTCCATCACCTTTACCCTTATTCTTTAGCAAGGCAGTGGTCGTCTTGGAGGTGTGTTTAGGGTTGGAATACTGAGTAAATCCTCAGTCAAATTCCTCGTATGTGTACACATACCTGGCAATAAAGCTGATTCTGATTCCAATGAACTGTAGCTCCACAGTGCCGGCAGCACTCATGCAGCCCCAGACCAGGACTCTCCCACCACCATGCTGGACTGTAGGCAGGACACACTTGTCTTTGTGCTCCTCACCTGGTTGCCACCACACACGCTTAAACCAAATAAGTTTATCTTGGTCTCATCAGACCACAGGACATGGTTCCAGTAATCCATGTCCTCAGTCTGCTGGTCTTCAGCAAACTGTTTGCGGGCTTTCTTGTGCATCATCTTTAGGAGAGGCTTCCTTCTGGGACGACAGCCATGCAGACCGGTTTGATGCAGTGTGCGGCGTCTGGTCTGAGCCCTGACAGGCTGACCCCCCCCCCACCCCTTCAACCTCTGCAGCAATGCTGGCAGTTGTGTATTTCCCAAAGACAACATCTGGATATGACGCTGAGCACGTACATTCAACTTCTTTGGTCAACCATAGCGAGGCCTGTTCTGAGTGGATCCTGTCCTGTACAACGCTGTTTGGTCTTGGCCACCGTGCTGCAGCTCAGTTTCAGGGTCTTGGCGGTCTTCTTATAGCCTCGGCCATCTTTATGTAGAGCAACCATCAGAGATCCTCAGAGGGTTCTTTGCCATGAGGTGCCATGTTACATCATCCTACATAATGTGTGTGCCGACCAAAACCCTGCACACATACAACAACCAAAAACCCTGGTTCACAGCGAAACTCAGGCAGCTTCGTCAGACCAAAGCGGAGGCCTTCAGAATCCTGTACAACCGGGCCAGGAACAAACTGACTAAAGAGGTCAAAGCTGCAAAAAGGAGTTACGTCAAAAAGCTAAATAACAGCTTTTCAGCCAACGACCCCCCATCAGTGTGGAGAGGCCTGCGGACACTCACTAACTACAGGAGACCGTCCCCCAACACTGCTGGTACTCAGACGAGACTGGCCAGCTGAATGGCTTTTACTGTAGGTTTGAAAAGCCCACAGTCACACCTCTCACACCTCTTCCCCACTTCAACACCATCTTCAAACAACCACCTTCCCCCTCTGACACGCTGCCACCCTCCTTCTCTGACCCCTCATCTGCACTCATGAGCCACCTCTTCCAGAGACAGAAGATCAGGAAGGCTCCTGGACCTGAGGGTGTCTCACCATCCTGCCTGAAAATCTGTGCAGACCAGCTGGCCCCCATCTCAGATCTTCAACAGATCACTGGAGCTGTGTGAAGTTCCCTCCTGCTTCAAACGCTCCACAGTCATCCCGGTCCCCAAAAAACCCTCCATCTCTGGACTAAATGACTATCTGACATCTGTAGTCATGAAGTCCTTTGAAAGACTGGTGTTGGCCCACCTGAAGGACATTACAGGCCCCTGCTGGACCCCCTGCAGTTTGCCTACAGGGCTAACAGGTCAGTGGATGATGCAGCCAACTTGGGTCTGCATCACATCCTGCAACCTCGACTCTCCAGGGACACATGCAGGGATCCTGTTCGTGCTTGTACTCCATTCCAGTTAGTTATCAAATTAGTTTAAACAGATAAAGCAAACAATATAAGTACTCACCTCTTCCTGGTTGTCTCTTCAGCAGGGGGCGGAGGAGTGTTGTAGGCCAAAGCACCTGCTTAAGAGCTGCAGGAGCAAACCATGAAGCTGAGGGTGGGGGGAGTAAAGGCATCAACAATGCTGATTTACATTTACATTTAGCTGACGCTTTTATCCAAAGCGACGTACAATTGCTATACATGTCAGAGGTCGAGCGCCTCTGGAGCAACGAGGGGTTAAGTGTCTTCCTCACAGTGTGAAACGAACTCAGGTCTCTCACACCAAAGGCAAGCATCTTATCTATGCGCCATCACCACACCCCTGATTTATGCGATTATTTTGAGTGTATGTGTTATGGATTTATTGATAGAAATTTGTATTTCTGTAAATATTCATTCTTTGTGCTCTATTTTTCTGTGGTGTTGGGTTTTTAGGTAAATATTTATCATTCTAAATGATGGTGGTCCCACCTAAGTAGTTTAACCCACTTAATTACCTGCAGTAGGGAGTGTATTAAAGGCAGCTAGCTTGCTTTCAGTGTAAGTTTGTTGCTTGTTGGTGGTCTCCTCTGTATGGATGACAATAAATGCCACGTTTGTGCTTGCATTTTACCTCTGTCTCATGTCTCTCTCTGGAAAAAAATTAAAGCCACCGCCGGGCCATCGGACAGTCAATCTAATTACCTGGCAAATAGAGCTGATTCTGATTCTGATTCTGATTCTGATTATGTTTTGTGAGGTGACCTTGAATGTTCAGAAAGGCATCTATAAATAAAATATATTATCATTTTTATTATTCAAACACATGTCCGAACCAGGGTGGGTGGAGTGAGGACAGGAGGAGGGATCCAGGGAACACAGACCCCAATAAAACAAAAACAACAACGATAAAAAAAACTCAGGGAAACAAAGTCCAAGTCAAGTTCTCTGGCGGACGGCCAGAGAACTTGGGGGCAACAGGAAACCTGAGGTGGGCGGCCTGAAGGCAGGGCAACAGGGAAGAGGGTCTGGGCAGGGGCCAGGGACGCAAACTCTCCAGAGGCCAGGCAGGGGGCCGGTGACGAGGGCAAGAACTCTCATGAGACTGGGCATGGGGCCGGTAGTGAAGGCGGGACCCCTCTGGAGGCTGGCGGCAAAGGTCTGAGGGCCACTGGTAGAGCTGGTGCTGGATGGACCTCCAACAGGGCAGGCATGATGGGTGAAACCTCCGTAGCACTGGACTGTGATGGAGCATGAAGGCGGCGAGCTCCACGTCTCCTTCCAGAACCTGTGGCTAACTAGCCCAAGGCTTGATGCTCGTGCCTTAACGTATCCCTTGGCCTTTCTGGTAAAAACGAGGAGGAGGCTAGCCGCCAAGGTGCTAGCAGGCCAGGAAACAGGCAGGTGACCAAACAAATGACCAAAGTAACACATACACACACTACCGAGAAGAGTAAACACAAGGGCAGGGAATGAACACAGAAAACAAATACAAAACCCACGACACAGCCATTACAAACATGACAACAATCAGACAAGACAGTACGACCTATGGTTTGTCTGAAACAGCATAGCCTGTTTCTCTGTTTATACTCTTCAGACCTTTTCCTCTTTGGCTGTTTCTCAGCCATCTCTCCTTTTTCACAGAGCCTCGACTCTAGCACGCTTGAATGTTGGTGTATCCAACTATCTCTCGCCACGACTCCTGTGCGTGAGCACGAAGGCCACCTGTTGCTGATTGGCTGGAGCAAAAGTTGTGGGAAATGCACCAAGCTACTTTCCTGGTGTTCCATTTACAAACCCAGGGCTGTGAGGAAAACCTGAAAACACCCAAAATGAAGAGTTAGCGAACTATGAGGAAACCTTCATTGGCTTTAACAGAAAGTGTTTTGGATTAGAATCACTTCCTATCCCTTCAAGAGAGAGAGTTCAGAGATGCAGTAGCTTTGGGGAAGTTCACTGTAATTCCTGCTTTCTGTCTCTGAGACTGTTTTTGTGAAATCATGTGTCCATGGGGCGTCCATCATCTGTATGGATGATGTTGCAGGATTTGTTAGTCTCAGGACTGGCATTATTGTTCCAGGAGGTCTAGCTGCTGCTGTAGTTCCTATTTTGTGCGTGACAGCAGCAGGTACTCCATTTTGGAGTTGGGGTCCTGGCGCTGTACATTGGTCTAATTAAACTGCTCATTGGTTTATGTAGATGTTAAACAGTCTGGGACTCAAATTACAGCCTCGGCAAACGCTTCTCC